TTTGTACATTCATTGCCCTCATCATTCTCAAAACATTTCCTCTCCACTTAAGCCCCCAACATTAGGTCCTCATTTTTCCCCTCCCTCCCCGCTCCTCCCTCCCTGAAAATCATTTTTTAAATACTCACATCCACATCTGGTCTCTTCAGTAAATCTTCTACTTTAGCAACATCTCCATTGGCAGCAGCCTTAACTAATTCTTCATTGAGGTCACCAGATTCTTGGGTTTCAAATAATTTCTTCAAGAGTTGGGAGAGTCTTTCTGTTAAGTATCAAATAAACATACTATGTATAAGAGAATGTCAAGCCCTAAATATTCACAGATAATTATATATAATCCTGAAAGATCTTTTCCTACTTTGTTATTTCTACCATTTGTTTTATTTTTCCCCCTGTGCTTTAATTACAAGTGATAACTACTAAGACATCAAAAGCAGCATTAAATTAAAACCTAGGTATATAAAAATTCATATTTGGATGATTGACAGCACCTCCCTCATTTTTTTCTTCACTTCTTGTGTCGTCAAATCACTGTCCTTAAATCTCCCTCTTCAATCGTGGAAACAAAAAGAAGTCACACACCAGAGCGAGGTCAAATGAATAAGGTCCATGGGATAAGAGAGGCATGCTGTTTCTTGCCAAAAACTGGCACACTGAGATGGCTGTGTGAGCAGGTGCATTGTTGTGGTGGCAAAACCAATCCCGTCTGCCACAAATCAAGCCTATTTTGTCGCACACTGTTATGCAATCTTTTCAGAACCTCTAAATAGAAAGCTTGATCAAAAGTATGACATAGTGGAACAAACTCCAAATGCACTATGAGTTAACACTTTCGTCCATTTGGGAAGTTAATGGGCATCCAGAATGAGGTATGTCATCAATTGACATTTCACGTTATTTGAAAGGAGAAAACCACTTTTACACTTGAGTTTTTCCAATAGCCCTATCCTGGAAAACTGTGTTCAACATCGCAACAGTTTCGGTGACATTTTTCCCCCCAAGCAGGAAACAAAATTTTACAGCTTTACACTGTTCTCCTCAATCAGCCATCACAAAAAATGAGGTTCACGCGAAATTGCTTTCACAAGAAAATTCACTGTGATCAGAGAGAACCTTCCCGGGTGACACCACTAAGTGGAATAATTTAGAACAAGCTGCTCGATGCTCGCTCAGTGGGGAAAAATGTGTACTATGAAAGCTCCACCCAGCAGAGCTTTTTCCATTTCGGTGGGGGTACCCTCTCGTAGATTCCAAGTTTTCTCCAATTCATGTGTTTCGAATTATAATTATAGAAACAGTATAGAGGTTACTTTCTAAAATCAGTTCAAGATTTAGATGTCACATCTAAGATATTATGAATGAACACACTACAAAGGAAGTATCAAGATACCAATCTCCTTTCAGGTTTCAAGCACACAAAGTGGCTCCCAGTCAATACTAAAGAGTGTAGAGTAATTCAACAGGTAATGATTATGATACAAAAAGCAGTATCAGGTTTACGATAACATTGCAGGCTCTGAGGAAATCTGTTTGAGACAAACCTAGTTTTAGTTGAAATAGTCACTGAAGTACTAATGACAGACTTCAGCAGGTGCGAGCTGTTTGGCTTTTCCTAACAAGGGAAGGAACCAGTGATGAATCTACCTAATTCCTTTCTTAAGATATATATATATATAGAGAGAGAGAGAGAGATTTAGATGAAAGTTTGTTTTTCTTCACTTTGGGTTTTTTTTCCCCACTAATCTTTTTTTTTTCTTCTTTTTATTTTTTTTATTTTTAACATTTTATTAGGGGCTCATACAACTGTTATCCCAATCCATACACACATCAATTGTGTAAAGCGCATTTGTACATCGTTTC